TGCGATTGATCGCTCTCATTAACTTCATGCATGAGCATATAAGCATGAGCATATAGTACAAATTTTATTTGCGTATTGTAAAAACACGAAAGTAAAATCGTGATATATAGTATGTATAATATAATACATATCTTCAATAAAACATCGATATCCGCAAGCTGCATTGATGGTAGACTTTTCCGTGTATGTTAAAATAAGAGGTTAATCTGCACTTTAGATCATACTCGTTTACAAATATGTATACATATATCATAAATTAGTTTAGGGTAGGGTTGCCATTTCAAAAAGGTAAAAACTAGAACTGATGAACCGAAAATTCCGGACATTTCGTTTGCTACCCCGGACGCATACATTTGCTTACCTTTTTTGGTGCTTTAGAAATAATTATTTCACATATAAGCTTTTTAAAATTTTAGATAAATAATATTTCCATTAACAGGGGTTTTTCTTTAATTGATAATATTAGGTGTTAAACTTAATTCCTATCGTTTTTTCGTCTCGAAAATCGATTTGTTTCGAAGGGAAGATGAATGAATATCTTAATAAAAGTAATTTCCTCCATTTTCTACTACTTTTTCCCATCTCTCCGGCAACAGAGCAATCCCACGGTAGAACGCGGTGTCCTTTCGAGGCGATCCATTCATCCACCCATTTTTGGACTTCGTTGTAACTGGAGAAGTGTGTGTCCGTAAGTGCGTATTGCATCGATCGGAAGAGATGGTAATCCGACGGTGTCAAATCTGGAGAGTACACTGAGTGCGGCAGAACTTTCCATTCAAGCACTCGAAGTGCCTGCTTTACGTTTTTCGCGACATGCAGTCGAGCGTTATCATGCAACAAAATGACTTTGAATCGATTGTTGGCTACGGATGATCTTTTTTGCATCAATTTGTCACTCAATCGGTATAATTGCTGCTTGTAGCGATCAGCTGTAACGGTTTCATTTGGACCCAAGAGTTCGTAATACAGCACACCTTCCTGGTCCCATCAAACGCACAGCAAGGTCTTATGCCCGTGAATATTCCTCTCCACCCATGGTTTTTGCCGTTTGGGATTATTAAAATAAATCCATTTTTCATCGCCAGTCACGATGCGCCACAAAAAACTTTTTTTCTTTGCCTGACAAGCAAAGAAGTCACAATAGTCAAACGATTTGAAATGGCACTTTCTGACAACTCATGTGGTAGCCATCTCTCTTCCTTATGGATCTTTTCCATGGCAAGCAAGCGTTTTGAGACGGCCATTGGAGTAACATTTAACTGTTTCGACAACTCTAAAAGTGTTTGAACTGGATTCTCATCAAGCAATTCTTGCAGCTCGATATATTCAAATTTTTTCGGCTGTCCTGGACGTTCTTTGTCTTTCACATCAAAATCACCGTTTCGGAAGCGTTGAAACCAAACTCTACATGTTGGTTCCGATGGAGTTTCATCACCATACATTTCGGATAATAAGCGATGCGCTTGAGCTACGGTTTTCTTGAGGTCGAAGTAGTGAAGAAGCACATGTCGGAAAAACAGCTTATCGCGATTCATTTTTAATCGATTGGAAAATCTTTTTGGCGTCGAGAAATCTAACCTGTGAGGATTGAATCACTTTCAGCGATGTCTAAACTACAAAAGATATGTGACTTCATCGTCGAAAGTCGTCAGCGTTGGAGGCAGAGCCCTCTAGTAGCGAGCGATAGGAATTAAGTTTAACATCTAATACGTTATCAAAAAATATTTGACCTATCTTCGTAATAGCGTTTTCGGCCCGATCGGGTTTGCACTAATCTTGGTTGGATTAATCTTTCCGATGGGTTGACGTCACACGGTCTACCAATAGGAGAGCACAAAACGCCATTAATCCAACCCAGGTTGGTGCCAACTCAGTCGAGCCGAAAACACTATAAGTACATATATTTAGTTGTTTTTTCCTTACAAATTGCACAATACTATCACTTCTCTATTATCATGTTTATAGTATAACATCATTATCATGTTTACAGTATAACATTTTACAGGTCGCACGCGACCGGTTTGACACGCGATATCCAATGAGCGTACAGCTTTACCGATGTTCTCATTCTAAAGCTATACGCTCATTGAATATCGCGTGTCGCGCGACAAACATTGCGCTGGTGTGCAGTTGGCATTACACTATATGCGGATAAATTTTATTCTCAACCTGCGTCCTACAGGGCTGCCAATCTTTAATGTCAACACTACACTTACACGCCAAAGTTTTTTTGCCATCCAGTAAAAAAATATTTCCTTTTTATATAAAACCTCGGACTCTGATGATTATCCCGGACGTCATAAAAAAGAGGATGGTATCCGGGGAAAAGAGGACGGATGGCAACCCTAGTTTAGGGAGTCTATAAGGATCGTATTCTGAAAGAGTACTTACCGTGTAACAAAATTTTAGCACATTTATTTTACTCGCATACACAATATTCATTCTCGAGACTCTGCTGTCTCTCGTATAGCCGTATCTGCTTCTTCCTCCTCGCGATTCGCAATTGTTAAATAACGACATTGCCATAGAAACTCGCGCGCTTTCCTTAAAAAATAAAGGAGAGAAGCGACACATGATCACCTGATCAGCTATTTTGTGACTGGTTGGAGCTTCTATAGCACCCTACATGTCATTCTATCCTTAAGGTATATCCCTTAAGTCTTGTCCACCATGTTAGAACTCGGTCCGAGTTCTCGAATCGAGAAATGTGTAGCCAATCAACTTGCCGATTTTCCGTAAAAACTGTAAGCTAACTGGCTACATATTTCATGATTTTAATATTAATTAATTTTTCTGTAATATTCCAGATATTTCAAAATTATTTTAATAACCTTTCAGTAATATTTCTAATATATTTCAGAAAGGTGTTAGATTTATTTCAATTATTCATTAGCAAGCACTCAGGAATACTTCAGACATATTTCGGTAATCTTTCAGAACATTTTCAGAAAGGTTTTAAGTGCAAGAATCGCGGACATTTTGCTATCTCAGAGCTATCTCAGAGCTGTTGCAGAAACGTTTTGCAATGTTCCTAAAATATTTCAATTGTATATGTGAAACATTTATGAAATATCTTTGAAAGGTTTTTGTGGTGTATCGGGTTATTTCTAAATTTATTAGATATGAAGGAGAAAGTTTTCAAACTCATTGTACGTGAAAAATTTCAAAAACCATTTAACTGAAAGGTTTACAAAACGATTTCATATGAAATATTTCAGAAATAACTCTACTGAAACATTTAAAATTTATTGTATAATAAATATATCAGAGATAATTCAACTGAAAGTTTTGTAAAATTATGTTTATGTGAACAGTTTCAGAAACATTTCTGCAGTAACATTTCATGTGACATATTGTAAAATTCTTTCAGAATTGTTACACATGAAATGTGAAAGGTCGAAATGATTTTGAAACCTTACTGAAAGTTTTTTGCAACTATCGGTGCTATATGGGAGGCAACTTATTCTAGTCTAGAAGCCGAATTTTTATATTTTTGCGAATTTTTAAAAAATATAAGATAAAGTTTTTTGGGACAGGGTTTTTTTTCTACATATTTGTACATATTTGAAGAACGTTTCAGACTTTTTTTTATTAAAAAATAATTGTTAATATGCGCTGTATAAAATATTAAGTAACGTCATGAAAAATAAAACTAGGTCTATAGTTCCCACGATTCCAACTGTTTTGCTTATGTAAAAAAAAACCAAAGAAATTCTTAATTAGTATGAGTTTGGCTATAGCAGGTATCAGAACGAAGAAAAAATACTGATAATTTAAAAAATGTCATGTCGAAAATTAAGTTTCGATTTTTGCCTTTTTTTCCACCAAAATGGTTGTAAAAATTACAAAAATATATATTTCGACTTGATTCTGGTACGCTATAATCATATATGTGCTGAAGATGTGTTCACATGCCCGACTCGACTGGTTTTCGAGATACCATGGGAGTCAATTTGAAAAACATGGTTTCGAGAAAAACTCGTAGTTTTTCGTACTGATTATATAAAGACAATTTTACTTACGATCAATCAGCTGGAATCCTCTTTTTTCCATGTCCTGTCGCCAGAAACCGTTAAATGTGTTGCAACATTTCCAGCTTCTTCATTCTTCTTCTTCTCATCACCAAATTCTATTGAAATAGGAAAGTCGATATCTTTCGAACTTTGCAGTTTTTCTTGCGAAAACGAGCCGGAGACCGCTCTCTACCAGGTGCTATAACTTTGTTAATTTTGCGAATCGAGCTAATTCTTTTTGCAGACATATTTTCTGTACCAAATACTTGCAAAATATGTAAAAAAAATCAATTTTTTTAACCCGCTAGACTAGAATATTCCCTTAAACAAAGCAGTTTCAAGTAAATTGACAGCAACCTGCAGGCAATTTGCTATCTGGGATCTTGTAAAAGTAATGCTAACTTTACGAAAATAAAACAACTTCTTTGTCATCTTTGTAATATCTTTGTGATATGAATGTCAGTGATTGTACTTATTCTGAAAGTGATATATTTTATAACTAAATCACTTAAATTTTAACTATTAATTTTATAGCTTTGTAAATATGGGCAAATTACGCCATTGTACGACTAAGTATGATATACCTAGATAATTATTATTTTTTCCTCTGTAACGTTGTATAATTAAATATGTCAATTAATTAACACACCATGGATAAAAATTTCCTAGTATTGTTGCTAAAAACGTATAATGTATTTTCTTTATATATTTTCCTTATAAAAAAATTATTTATGTTACATTTATCCACCGTATCATATAATTATTATACAGTAACCATATAGTCTATGAGTAATAAAACTTAAAGATTGTTTAATAAATATCTAAAATTATGGAAGAAGAATATTTAAATATCGCATAAATGTTGAAGCACCAGCTTATAAATAATATACGAAGAAAATAGAAATCCAGCGAAGAGCATAAGAGTATTTATTTTTAAATCGCTATCTAGAACAAAAATGGATAGGTACTTAAAATATCTTTTCGCAGGCAAAGAAGTTAAGAGCGTGCAAACGAAGAATCAAGAGAAGGAGAACTTAAAATTAAATGACGTCAGTTATAGGTCTTGGAGACTCGGTAGTCTATATGAAAATGACAATAATGGTATAAATTTATTGCATTTTATACAATTTTAGGACTTCTGAAATCTTGATTAGTTTCACGTGTTTCAGATTATATGAGAACTTATCTTATTTTTTAATTACCAACTATTTTAATAGTTTGTAAAAATTATTATATATCAATAGTGAATTTTTTTTATATCAATAATTAAATAAACAGCAAAAGTAAATTGCAAGTCAGTAAATAATATTGATTCGTCATCTTACATTACACTGGAATGTTATGATATAAAAATATTATAAATTACACACAAATATATTATCTATTATATTTCATAAGTTTAATCCAATTTTCATTTTTAGACTATTTTCAGAAAAATGCCAATATTCTTTATAAATAATGTTTTCTTCGTATTATAATGGATATTGTAAATTAATTTAATTTAATTGAGATTAGAAACAATTAAGACCGTTTATGTGAGAACACCTAAATACAAGAGAAGTGCCATTTTCGGTCAAAATTAGATGTTAAATTATGTATTCTTTGAATGAATTTATCTCATTGTCAGAAATATGACTGCATGCCGATTTTTCGGACTTTCAACACAATTAATCTCAAATAATAATAATCTCCTGCAAATTTTAATAAGAAACCTGCCATAAAAACTGTGAAGAACTTATTGTGAAAAGTATTATCTCGGTCGGAGATTTTACAATCATACACGATTAGTGTAATATTGATGATATGTCGTTTTAGTTTTACATATAATATCTATTGCACTGTGACATACTGTGGCACATCCTAATAAAGCGATACTACTTAAGAATCAGATCCTAGGTAACATTTATGTTGCATAAGATATCTAAAAGACGTCTTTTCGATAGCTTATGTCTAAAAGTTGTTTAAAAGACGTCTTTTAGATATCTTATGCAACATGCACGTTATCTGGGATCCAGATCACCGTCAGTATTCTACGTCAATCCATCAATATTAACTACATACGATCGGTAAGATCGTCAGTATTTGTTAATATTAACAGTACTATTGACCATGTAGAATTATCTTAACGATTCTTCGAGTGATTTCATGATAAGGACGCTTACACGGAATGCTATAATTAAGAGATCCGCCGCGGGTTCGATTCCTGACCGAGGTAATATTTTGTGTTCTTTACAGGTTTAAAGATGTTTTTTATTAAAATTTCAGAGGATAATTAATTACGATTGTATTTAAAGTTCGAAAGTAATCGGCGCATAGTCATATTTCTTAAATAAGTTCATTTGAAGAATATATACCAGGTGTACAAGTATGAAATGTGGATTTTTTTTCCAAAAAAAAAAAACACGTTAAATTCGGAAGAATGATAAAGCGGTTTATTTAAAGTATACTCCATTGCTAGTTATACATTTTTCTCATCTTTCGGGTAATTTGTGGATACCACGCCAGTAAAAACCTTTCCCTTTTGCCACGAACCACTCATCGAGTCATTTTTTCACATCTCCGTACGAACCAAAGCGCTGCTCAGCAAGTGCGTGACCCATCGATGCAAACAAGTGGTAATCGGAAGGAGCTAAGTCTGGTGAGTAAGCCGCATGGGCTAGCACTTCCCAGCTGAGTGCTTCCAACATGTCGCGAACCGGTTTTGCCGTATGTGATGGAGCATTGTTAGGGAGAAAAATGATCTTGTGTTGCCTTTTTCGATATTCTGATCGTTTTTCGTGTAGCGAACGGTTGAAATCGATCAATTGTTGTTGGTAGCGTTTGCTATTAACCGTTTCAGCAGGCTTTAACAGCTCATAATAGATCACACCCTTCTGGTCCCACCAAACACAGAGGGGTGGCACCCAGTTGGACACGGCTCAATTGGACACGAGCCACTCACAGCGCTTGAGACTACAAAGCTCCTAAGCACCGGTCGCTGTGATTGGTGGTGTCCAATCGAGCCGTGGTCAATCGGGATCACCCCAACACAGAGTATCGTCTTCCTGCCAAAGAGATTCGGTCTTGCGGTCGATGTGGATGGTGCGCCTGAGTCTATCCATGATTTTTTGCGCTTGGGATTCTCAAAATATATCCACTTTTTATCCCCAGTAACGATACGATGCAAAAACGACTTTCTTTTGTATCTTCGAGCAAAATTTCACATGTGTTTTTGCGCCTCTCCATCTGCCTCTCGTTCAACTCATGTGGTATCCATCTGCCGACCTTCTAAATCTTTCCCATTTTTCGTAGGCGATTGGAAACAGTTTGTTGACTAACGCTCAATTGCTCTGCGAGTTGTTTTTGTGTTTGTGAATCGTCTTCGTCCAATAATGCTTGCAATTCTACATCTTCGTACCTTTTTGGCGGTTTTCCGTGTTCCTTGTCTACAACATCGAAATCACCACTTTTGAAACGCCGAAACCATCGTTCACACGTATCTTGCGATGGAGCATGTTCACCATAAACTTCTCGAAGTAATCGGTATGATTCAGCAGCAGTTTTCTTCAAATAAAAACAAAAAATTAATGCTGTCCGCGAATGCTCTTTATTTGGCACATATTTCGACACATTGAACATAGCAAAACAATACTATGCAAACGCTTTTTCAATTTATCACTTATGCGCGTTTGACGGTACAACAAAATGGCATATACGTCAAATCTTTATACTACACACTGCATTGGTGCACCATCTGTTGTCTCAAATCCGCACTTCATACTTGTACACCTGGTATTTTGTGACGGAGCTCCCTATATTTTGTGATGGCATCCCTTATGAAAAGAGACACTCAAAGTTGAGTGTTAACACTTAATTTTCAGTGTTTTTTCGAAATTTTCAGTGTCTCTTTCCATAAGGGATCTTACCAATTCTATCACCGAAGGTAATAGAAATATTATTTCTTTACACACAAACATTTATAAATTGATAGTATCAAGTGGACTGCAAGGTTCACGAAACGTTGACATTTCAAGAATGAATCTGGACACGGAGGAAACCCGCGAAACGCGTAACCTTTATATAGAAAGGACGCGTGGAAGCCTCAAGAATATTATATGTATAAAACATTTTTTCCTGGGCAATGTCTATCATCGATCAAGAAATTGATTTTTAGCAGAACAATAAAAAGGAATATCATGTTATGTAGGTACTATTAGTGAGAATGCAGAATCTCAGAGAAACTCGTTCAGTTTTACCACTCAGTATAAAAATATGGACTGTTCTTCTACACTGGTAATTATGCACAGTTAAATCCAACAAGAGCTTTATCATGTCATCGTACTATTTGGCAATTAATTAATTTTTCTGAAAATTACAGAATTTGATTTATCCAGATAAACAGAAAAATGATAAAAAGATGAAAGAGTTTCCAATCGAATTGACAATGAGCTTGCAATATTTGCCGCCCTGTGATAATATTATCTCCGGAAAGCTCGTTATCGGTATTGAAGTGCGTTATTGGGATCTTATACATGAAGTTATAAGAAAGTTTTACTAATAATAACATAAATATTTAAAATGTTTTATATGTTCCATTATTTACGCGATTTGTCGGTGGTTAAAATAAAATTACATAATAAAAATGAAAAATATTCTACAATTATCTGTTTTAGGCGCTATGTGGTCTTCCTCCAAAACAATATAACGGTACATTGGAACCTTACGTTGCATTGAATATTATGAAACAATCATGGAGCTATAAAAAGCGGCAAAAATTGCATAGTTTTAGAACAAGAGGCATCAAGCATACCGCCAGTCCGATTTACAAAGAGACTTTTGTTATTGCAAACATAAAGCCACAGGAAGCTAAGGTAAATTCTTTATTATACAGAATATTACATATTTGAAAAAAAAAAACATACATATATATATTACTATATAATTTAGTATTTCTATTAATATAAACTATTTCTACAAGGTAAGTTACAAACAGAAAAAAGTAATATTCGTTACCGAAAAAAAAATAACGAAAACGGTAATAAATGACACGTTACTTCTCAACCCTATATACATGTATGTACGCGCATTCAGTATTAGTTCTTTATTAGCATTAACGTTATATAATCCATTCATTTGGAATTTGTATTTTCTGTGAATGTACTTAATCATTCGATATATACATTATGAATTAATATCTCGTGAGGATTTAATAGTACGCGTATTCCTAATTTATTATACAAGATGTTAAGTCCAGTATTCATAGTTCTTATTTTTAAATAATCTTAAGTAATATTTTAAGATGCTAATACTGCTAAAGTTGACTTATGACATCTTAAGACTGTAGGGGAGACCCGGCCGGTCATATGGGATTGACTATCAAGAAGTTAATATACAGGGTGATTAAAAAAAAACGTTTGTCCTTAAGGCGTCATATTTCTGACATAATTTTAAGACAATTTTTTTTTGTAAAAATTTTGTCTGAAGCTTAGTTTTCAAATTAAAAAAAAGAAATAGCGTATTACGAGCCGCGTAGAAGAGACGGACAGGAGCAACGCTCACGGTTAGACGCGAGCGCTTTACGCGCGGAACGCATACTGATCGGACGCGTTCACACGTTTATAAAAACACATTTCTTCTTACTTTTTCCCTCTACTACATTACCTCTTTGTCTTTCACATACTTTAAATATGATAATTTCGTTAAATTAGAAATTAGAGTGATGAAATTAAAATGAATATTAAACCCTTTGAGTGTCGGATTATTTTTTAATTACATTGAAAAAATTATTAGAGAAATGTAGTAAAAGAGTGAAATTAGACAATAATTACGTGCGATAAACACGTAATTAAAACTATTATTGACATACAAATCAAACAATTATTTCAGTACGCCGAATTCTAAAAGCGTTCTTACAATTCGATGTACCGAAAACTTATTAGACTTAATTGTATGTAGGCGTTACAATACTTGTGGTACGGAATTATTGTCCAATTTGTCACTTTTACGAAAATTTCTCTAACAATTTTATCTACGCTATCGCGCTCGTAGCATTTATTACATACTTATGAGAAGTCTTATGAGAAACGCGATCGCGCTTCTTAGCAATCAAAGAGTTGTGAATATTTAAAACAAAACCGTAAGCCAAATATACACTTTAAATGATTATTATTATCTTAATTATAAAATTGTTATTACCATGTAGATGTTCAATGATTCCATTTTGCTCTAGTTTCTTGAAACAGTCGGAGGAATAAATTTGGATGCATCGTAATAGTGCTCGACACAACGGTTTACTTACTGTAATTCACTTTCTTCATTCAAATATTAAATGTCTCTTAAGTACGTAGATTTTTATAAAAATAAGAAAATGCAGTACTAAAAAGTTGATAAAAAATTCTGAAAAAATTCTCAAAACTTTATGAGGAGAAAATAAATAATTTTTATCTCTTGCTGTTTTTCTGTAAAGTTGATAGTATTTAAGTAAAAAATTATTCAAGATCAATATTTTGCAATTTTTAGTAATATTTAGTTAATATTTTGTTAACTATTACGAAAATTGCAAAATGGTAGAGGACTTTTCGACTCAGTTTAATCCGCTCTATCAACACAAAAGTGATTGGCAAAAAAGGTCGGGATACCCCGTACAGGAATACCCCGAGCGGCCGAGAAAGTACATTTTCGGTTTTCGGTCGCTTATAACAAGCGCCTACGATACTAGAGGAAGCGAGACAGCGAGAGAGAGCGGACGCCCTTTTCGCTCTAATACTCGCTTGTGTTTACGAGTTACTGGTAGAGCGAGAAGGACGGGCGCTGCCTCTCGCTGTCTCGTTCGCTCTCGCGGCGAAACGGCCGACTCGATGCCGGTAGGTGTCTGCTTGGTGGGGGTACAAGTGGTGGGGCTGGATTCCGTGTTGCCGGGGAGCCAAATGTGCATCACTGGTTATGGGTGCAGTGAGTTCAGTTTATGCATCACTAATAGCGTTTTTCATTAGCAAAACTAGTGCACACTCAGTGCACATTAAAACTGGTAGCCTATTCCCAGTGAGAAATGACAATGGAATCGACATCGAATCAACGTCGATTCGACGTCAATTCGATGATTTCGACGTCGAATCGATATCGATTCGATGTCGATTCCATTGTCATTTCTCGCTGGGATTACGGTTTCTCCATGAATTTAATCACTTTTCGCATTTTCATTTCACGTGACTTTAGTCATCTAATTATGGAACTTTTAAGTGAAAATGTGAAGTAACTAGATATTTCCGGTATAGTAATCTCACATTTTGAATCGACAATCATAGGTTTGTACACAAAGTGAGGTTAAAAGTGCTAGAAGTAATTATAAGTCAAGTTTTTTAATTCATCATTTGATCAATCGCATTATGCTAAAAAATAATTCTTTTGTTTAAAAAGCTGCATTTATGCATAATACGATTGATCAATCAATGAACAATCTCGTTTATATTTATTGTCTATTAATTACAATTTATCTTTGAAAAATTATAAATAAGTTTACAATATACTCACTTTGTTCGATTTTTACTTTTCATTGTAAATGTCAACTTTTCAGAAAACGTAACATCTAAAAATATACAAAATTACATTTACTTGTAAAGACTGCGGAATTCACTTTCTGGTATACCAAATGGATCTGAGGCATTCCTTAGTCTCCTCCGTATTCTAATAGCGTTTTCGATTGGGCAAAAGTTAGTGCGCACCAGTTCACACCAACACTGGATGAGTTCCATGGGTTGCACTGAATAGTGCAAGTTCAAAAGAATACGCCAAGATTTTCAGTGCTAAAGCTGAAACTCATTTTTGTTCACCTTGAAGCAATGTTCAACAAAATGTTACAAAACCACAGTAAAAGATATTAAGAGTAGGGACAAGACCCCGTTTTCAATTCAACTGCGCAGATTTGCTTGTCCCTATGTATATCCTTAACTATGATAAAACGTGCACTGAACTGGCACCGTCAAAATATCTCGTGCCACTTAGTGCGCACTGAGTGCGCACTACGCGAGTGTCGTGCGATCAAATGAACACGTGACACTAGCCAAGTGCGCATTGGCACTGCCAATCGAACACGCTCTTGGCACTGAGTGCAGCCAGTGCACCCCAATCGAAAACGCTATTATTTTCATTTCACCTTTTCACTTATAAATTTCGTGCCGAGCCTATTCACGCGAGTAACTTCGTATTTTCACGAGGTGAGATTAAATATAATTGGATGAGTTACTCACTTCCGTCATTTTCACCCAATCTGAGAGCCGTAATAAGCACCCTGCTGTTCACTATTCTAATCTAAATATAAAAGTGAGATATCTCAATTGATAAAATGCCCAAAATTTATTTTATCAAATAGCATAATAAAATGGATCGAATATTTCACGGTTTAATTCGTTTATATATTTTTATTAAACGTATATCTTTACGTGGTTTTTGTACAACGGCTTTAAAGTGCACTGAGTGCGCACTAGTTCTGCCAATGAAAAATACTATAAGGCGCTGCGTGAACTGCACTCACTCCACCCATAACCAAGAAAGTCAGTCAGTTGCTTACCGCACGTAAAGACATGTTGTGTTGTATAGGGACTTCCAGACGTTTTTCTTCCTTCGTGTGATTTTCAATCACCGAATAATCAATCGTTTGTGATTGTCAGTGGTTAATTAATAAATCGGTTAATAAATTCTTCGTGCTATCATGTGAGTGTAATCGAAGTGTCCATATGTTGAAACGTGACAATTTATAAAAGAATAAGGTAATTATTCAGAATACCTCCCTCACCTTCGATTTCGAAATTAGGCTCATTCGACGCGTTTTTGCATGAAACGAAAGAATCTGGCAGAAAAAAATGTCGCTCTGCCTCGCGAACCGAGATATTTAGCGTTAAAGTTGACGACTATGAAGGTTAGAAAATCTGTCATACCGACTATGTGTAGTGCTACGAGTATGCCTTTATCATGCTCTCTGACTTCATGCGCATGCGCTTGGTTTCGTTTCGGTCAGAGTGCACGAAATTTAAAATCAATGGTATAAAATTAAACGTATGTAGTAGTGCTTAGACAGTGTCCCCTTGGAATATTTGTAACCCATGTAGACAGTGGGGTGTATAGACAGTAATGCTTGGGTTCGGGTGGCTACGCCGCCCGAACGAAATTTAAATATAACATCACAACCGCTTGGGGCCTAACCGCCTAGAAGTTACAGCTGAGACAGTGTCCGCTTGGAATATTTCTAACCCATGTAGACAGTGGGGTGTG